CACACACACACACACACACACACACACACACACACACACACACACACACACACACACACACACACACACACACACACAACACACACAACACACACACACAATACACACAAGCACACACATACACGCACACACGCACATACACACACCACGCACATACACACAAACACACATGCACACATACACACATACACACATATACACACATACACACACACGCACACACACAACACACACACAATACACACGCACATACATGCACACACACACACAACGATGCACAAATGATTACCACTGAAAATTGGCCATGTTTAAAGAGAAAGAGCATTCTTTTTTCAAATATTTCAGCCTTCCGAGGTTTACAATAGGCGTTAGACGGTCGTTGTTTGTCGTTCGTCGCTCGTCAAGTCAACCACTGAGCACCAGCATCGTTTGGCTTTAAGATATTCAGCACTATTGTCATATATTGTACGGTGTCTTCGTATTGAATTTCACGGCTTGCGTTTCACTGACGTGTTCAAGAAACAATTGCCACACAATTAGATCGGCTTCCTTCATGTTCTATCAAAAGAAGAAAAGAGAAAAAAGACGATAAGATCGCAAATGCAACTAAAAGTGGTCATCAATCGTGAGGAGTTTCATGAGTAGATAAGTTACTATTGAACAATGTTCTTCCCACAGAAACAGGAAGAAACCGATGATTTCAAAATTCGAAATGGACCGTTCCTACACAATACAAATTGAATTACAAACTTATAATGTTATAATGTTATGTTATATTAGTTATAATGTCTATTTGCTACCTTCCACAGTTTTCCAGACAAAGGCAGCAAACTAAAAGTTAACATTGTGATTTCAACTACAGCGTCGGCTTAACTGGGTTCAATACCGATTCGGGCTGCTCAGATCAATCCCGTCGACGGGTGATTGCTAATGGCAGTGATCGATAGAAAAGTAGTCGAGAGACATGCGAAACGAAAGAGCCGTATAGTATGGTGGTGGACGCGTTACTCCCCGGAAAGGACAATAGTGCGTTCGTTCCCCACCGCAGACACTTGCGGTTCGGAGTTTTGCAAATATCTCAGCACCATTGTGGTTGTATTACTGAAGTTAATTGTTGGGTAGTAAGATACCCGAATTCTATAGCTGTTTGCCACTTGCTCTAATATTCGAGCATAGTTGAGGTTTTGAAGACTAATAGATAAAGAAACGTAACGAATACTTCCCCTTCTATCGTGTGAAATTTAACGCACCTTTGAACCATGAATAGGCGGTAATCACCTCTTAAACATACTAACGCCTTTGAGAATAGAGAAATAATTTAAACGGAAGGAACCCTATGATGGATGTATATAGTGTAATAGTAGAGACAGTGCACAACAGAGATGATATTTTTTTCGACCCCGTACCCCAAGCTCACCACGACTTACATCATGCGCACTTGGCAAATGAGAACCATACTTGTCTTGGAGGATAAAAATATTGTATTAATATATCGTTAGTACACGGCAAGTCATAGTATCCGTAACGCCGATCAACGCCGAGCGCTTTATTTTTTATCCTATATTCTTTATCCGATGACCCCAGAAAACGAAATCCTCCATTCTTTAGCATCGGAGATTTGATAACAAATTTTCTCGAAGGACAAAACAAAGCCGTCAGTTGTTATAATGGTGTCTTCACCAGTAACTCTGTAGTACAAATATCCATTCTCTTATGCCAAGTTGATTTCGACATGCTTTATAGCTTAAACAGAAGTCAAGTCGTATAATCAAGAATATGGCGCTTTATTTTCTATATGAGAATGTTTGCTGTTACCTGTCAGCAGAAGTACATTGACAAGTGATCTCGTGGTTAGTTATTAAGTACTCGTTCCAATACCATAGACCAACGTACTTGCTGACCGCTTGACCGTATTTGACCATTCCGAACAGAATGACACCGGTGTAGGCGTAGAAGAGCACGAGCAGAAACATAGCTGTGATGATGAAAAACGATCGGAACATGCCCATCACAACCGTCAGCATCAGCATTTTCAGCGTCGAATTGCGACCTAAAGCTTACAAAACGGCAACTGACAACGTCCAGATTATGCGAATCGCTCCAAGAGATCTGTTGACAAAAATGACGAAAAGATGTGGACAAAAACGTCTCACTAAAATGTTTGAAAACTCACTTGCGATTGTGAAGAACCTCAGTATAACGATGATATATCCAAAAGTGTAAGTGAACGTCTTGAGCCTAGTCTGTGGAGCCGCATCAAACGAACTCGACGGCACCGCGACGAAAAAATGCAAGAAAATCCACGAAAGTCCGAATACCGTGATGAGCAAGTCTATGCGATTACGCCGTGATTGCCAAAAACCGTTGAATGTGAACGCGAGCACTTTCAAAATTATCTGAAACTTAGTGAATATGCCTTACCCATATTTTGTAACCCTCATTACAACACTTTTCTTTCCCGACTTTTACTTAACCTCAAGATAATAAAATAATCGGTGTATTTTCCCGCTTGTTTGCTTTTATCAGAGATCCCCGAGTACTACACATATGACAAGCTGTCGAGGAAGAAATGAATAATAAACAAAGGACCAATTTTATCCAGCCTTCTCCTGCTCATGCACGAGTTAATTAGATGGGTCCCAATAAAGCCTTGATCCATTTTTGTATCCTGCTGTAGCTGCCCAATTGACTCTGCTACCTCAAGGCACTCGAAAAGAACCGCATTTTCTTCCAGGATTTTCAGAAACAACTATGACGATCAAGTCGGCGGCTTTCCTGTTGTGCGGTTGATATACCTGTGGACCGTTTTTTCAGTCGGTTGCCCTTAGAAGCAACCTATGCGGTGCAGCTGATTGTTGACATACTAACGTATCTCTTATCCTAGATAGTCGGTGTTGACAAGGGATTGGTAACGATTTTATCTCCTACACGGAATGCTTTTTATACGTATTCAAGTAGAAATAATTGTCTAATCAAAAACGTTGCATGGAACATGATTGCTTTATCCTGCTCATTTCGTTTCTGAAGCTGTTGTAAGTTTCCCAAGTCACTAATTTCCTATCGGTCAGCGTTGAAGCTACAATATTCTTCACACTGACTCCTGACCCAAATACACATACTTTGAGAGCCACTCCGATCAGATTAAATAATGCATCGAAAACGAATTCGTTCCTCATAATAATCGTTGGTTACATACTCAATCAAAGATCTATTCTTCGTAAGGAGTATCAAAATTGGCTTGCATTCAGTCTGCCCAGTGGTTCGATATGTCATAAGGACGGCAGAGCAAAGATAGTACAGTGCTGTTGGCCATCAGCATTTACTTCCAAGCTGTAGAACTCTAGCTTTCGCATGACACTCTCAGTAGTGATCAATATTCGAGATAGTATCGCCTGTCGCTTTTAAACCAATGATTTGCACTTGTGAAAGGGCAAATTTTTGGTGCTAAAGTTGCAGTGCAGCCCAAAACAGATATTCACCTATTGAACGGTCATGTTGCGCTTGCTCAGAGCACCATTAGAGAAAAGGCTTGTTGAGAGAAAGGCAGATGAGGTGCTTCGATCGCCATTGTGGACAGTAGGTGAGCCCAGCCGAAATGGTAATCGCTGGTTCGAGGTCCACCTGTGGTCCGAGTTTTGCTAGTACCTCAGCATCCTTGTGGCTGTGTTTTATATAATACCCTTCCACCGAAAAAGAATAGGTAGTAAATAAAAGTTAGAATATTATGAAAGTGTTAGCACTTCTCAGAGACACATCAATCATAGCGGTGAGAGGTGTTCTGTAATAACTACTGAGTGTTGGTCAGGTGGGTGCAGTGCCAATGTTCTGCTTATCACTTCGGAGTACGTAGTTTGGCACGAGACTAGTTGAGGAGGATAAAAACGCAAACTCAATACAAAATAGGCTTTCGAAAGTGACCGAATAATCCAAATATGCGTTTACCTACTTCTACAGCACTTAATAGAATTCAAAAATGGCGGTTGCAAAATTTGGTAAATGCTCATAATTGCTCCATTGCTTCGAATTCCGAGCAATAGCCGGTAGATTTTCTTGAATCAATGTACTGTAGCGAGATTTGTGCTGGTTCGAACCTGGACTCAACAACCCTCTCTTCATCGCGAGTTAGGAAAAATGATACCAGAGATATAACTACCATGATGCTGAGATATTTGCAAAACTCCGGACAACAGGTGCATGCAGTGGGGAACGAACGCGCTATTGTCCTTTCCGAGGAGTAATGCGATCACCACCACAACATGCGAGCCCTTCGCTTCGCATGTCTCTCAGCCAGTTCTATCAATCTTTGCCACAGTAATCACCCGTATTTCGCAATATAGCCCGCCATTAAAAAATAATAGGCAGTAAATAATAAATTAAAATTGTGATTATAACTACAGCCTCAGCTTAAGTAGGTTCGTTGCCGATTTGGGCCCCCAGATCAATCCCACTGACGGGTGATTGCTGTGGCAAAGATCGGTAGAACTAGCTGAGAGACAGGCGAAACGAAGGGCCGCATGGTGTGGTAGTGAACGCGTTACTCCCCGGAAAGGACAATAACGCGTTCGTTCCCCACCGCATACACCTGTGGGCCGGAGTTTTGCAAATATCTCAGCATCATTGAAGTTATATTTCGCAATATACCCTGCCATTAAAAAAGAGTATGCAGTAAATAATAAGTTAAAATTGTGATATCGGAGATGTCTGGAAAAACTCCACTCTCTGTAGCTTAAGTGGGAACTCCCTTGCGCAGCAATCGGAAACTCTAGGGAAATTCGACTCGACCAGTACTGGACGGCATTCATAAGAAGACGACAATCCCGAAGCAGTAGTAGAATTTAGAAGCAAAGAGTGGGAGAACAGTTGTGGAAGATGAATGCGAGAAAAGAAATGAATGCAAGAAGTGCTGTGATATCCACAGTAAATGTGGAAGACGGATTATATGAAAAAACAATACACTCGAAAAGGCGATCTATCAAGGGTGGATCGAGGCCTAACAACTTGTATTTTTATCCTGTGTCCTGTAGTCGTGAGTTTTTGAATGAGCTATAGTGGGTAGTGTCTCCTCGTGTCACTAAGTTCAGCGGCGCCGTAGTTGTTCCACTTGTGTTTGCATCGTCAGGTCTGCTTTACATGATTATGACATCAGCTAGTGTCCTTTGTAACTATAGAACGTTAGCAGAATCCTTTCAGAGTTAGGCCTCCTAAACTGCCCCGTCTAAGCGACAGGAATTCTCTCTACTACATCGTACTACACTGATTAGTTAAGCAATCGTGAGCAGTGCATCCATATAAACCACTGCCGTTTTGTAGAAATATTAGTCGCTAAAGTCATGCACAACCATCATTAAACTCTTCACGTCACCCAAACAACGATCCTATCACCTTTATATGTGATGGGTGAAAGAAAACGAAGCGAAGTGTTGGCGCAAACACGATATTTGAAAAGGCCATCGAATTTAAGTAAATGGTGCTCACATTTTAGCAGCATTTCCGTGATCATTTTATCCAAATCTGGAATATAGCACTCAATAAAACGAAGTTAAGACACTGACACTGTCAAGAAATGACACTATCGTCTAGCTTTTAGAAAACCTGAACGTGGCTGGAAATCACCCTCTTCTTGCCCTTGGATCTTTTTTCTCACTGAGTTTATTAGTGGAAAGTATACCGTAAATAAGAAAAGAAGCTAAACAGTCGGGTAAATATTTTCTTAACCTCGACCGCGAACAGAATATTGATGGACGCGCTGAGCGCGGTGACGGAGAAAAGAATGGTGCGTCGCTCGCCCTCCTCCTCCACATTCCACGGAACGATCAGACAAGCTGAATTCAGCAACACCAGGAAAGCGAAAACCTTAACAGAACACTAAGAGTACTGTCTTCGGGCAGCTTCTGACAAGTCGTGTTTAAGGAAATATCGACAACCGTAATGGAAACTTTGCTGGTACCAAAAGGTGAGACCTGTTTATGCCACAGGCAATTGCGAAATTTCAGTCCAGTCCTTTTTTCTGTCTCAATCTAACCATTTCAATTCCATCTTTTTCATTTAGTTACATTTTGTAGTTACTTTCTAATCAAACTATGCACGATTCCCTTAACAGTTACAAAAAATATGTGGGTTACTAACGCAAGGAAACTTTTGAAAAACTTTCGAAAAAAACAATAGAGAAGGTATTGAAATCGGAATCAATTCTGAGCTCTTATCATAAAGGCAATGGGTGACCGCAAAAATTATCTAAGTATAACGCTCAAAATGAACCTGACTGAACCGTCGACTGAGAGTAAGCTCGTAGAATATCGTTCCAAGTCGAGCCGACTCCGATGGCTTCGGCGGCACGTGTAGCGGTTGGGCCATTTTTAAACGCGATTTTAAATCATGCCATCGCCTCTGGTCTACAGTCAGCAACGCCGTCCCCTAAAAAGACTAGTAATGGTTCGTGTCCTTGCAGTGAATGTACAGTACAAAAAGGACTCACTCGGTTCTCGGTGTAATTTGCGATGACAACGCCAACGAACAGTGTCAGCCCTATCATGCAGCCAATGAACACGTAAATGTGAATAAAGACCACCGCCCACTGAAATTAATCCCTACACTATCTTAGAGAATCGTACTCAATAAGACTGGTCGTTTAACAAATTTCTTCAGAGCTCTGGTTTAATTCAATGTTCACAAATACCAACCGTTTTGTCGTAAAGCATTTCAAAATTTTTGGTACGTATTTCAAAATTGTAAGAATTTGAAGTTCGATTTCCGATTTACAAGTGGAAATTACTGGGCAAAAATTAGATGTTTTAAAGCTAGGTAGTTTTAAAGAGCGTTCTGGTTCCCACCAAAGAACATCGAACCGCCATGCTCGCTCTTGGAAAACGAAGGCTATAAAGCATTAGCGTTTCAAGGAGCTTTCAGGTGCATTGCAAATGATTCCATTTTATTAATGCCTTCATGCACCTCAGTGTTCCTTTTTTTGTGGCACGTAAACGATTCTGTTATCTTGCGAAAAATGAACTGCCTACTGCACTTATTGCTGGAATGCCCAAAACTCTACTAAGAATTCGCCAGGATCGTAAAACTGCAAGAAGTGAGTAATGTGAAGCAAAAATCAGGTCGTCCATGTACAGTGGACATCTGATGAATTCTTAGGTTGTCAAGAACAACCAAAAATCTCCTCCTCAAAGGGCCCACCTGCCTGTTAGAGAGAAGGCAACCTGGCAGATAGGGCGACAATCGCGGATCAAAAGCGACCGAAGGCCTCACTGAGACGCAAATGGATCCAGGGATGGACCGTTTCCACTAGTCCGATTTGGCAAATACCTTCCGTGTTTACGAGGACATATTCATGCTTGCGTCCATGGATGTGCTCCCACTTATGCGGGTTGTATTATACGGCTCAGTTCGGTCAAAGGCCTGCAATCCATTAACAGGGAAGTACATGGGAGGCGGTTGCAAGTCGTCTCCAACAAATAAGCCCGTTCTCTCGCATAAGGAGAGACTGGGAAGCTATCTGTGAGTGTACCCAGCCCCACGTTCAGAAACCAGCAAGCTACGAGGGGTATCAAACGCTAAACGTAGCAAAATAAATGGGACGCATTTCTTTTACTGTGAAACAGCCCCAACTCGGAAGCGTTGGGTAAGATGAGTATGGAGAGGCTGCCAAAACTTAAGGGCCATTCTAGACTACCTAAATTAGAAAGGACTATGGTGATTATCTGTACCTACAAGGCAGGCACCCTTGCAACTGAGTCTTCAAATGGAGAATACCAAAACGAAATAGACCACAGCACTGGTATCAAAACCAATCGCATGGTGGCAAATCACACTCTGATTCACAAGCGCGGCGAGTATCTGTGGTGTCTACGACCTGGAGCAGACATTGGGCTAGGCTTACCTCTGCACTTCAGAGAACCACAATGGCCAAACTAGAAAAACGCCGAAGAAGTGGAAATTATGCTTTGGCCCGCACAACCAATGAGGATGGGTCTATTCAAATAAGTAATAGACCACAAAACAGTAAATCGAAAGTTTTGCCTAATTTCGGCGTTCTCCTAAAATTTTGTACGGAATAATTCCATCGCCTCGCTTATGAGAGCTTCCATTTCTCGAAACAAGGAGAGAAGTCGATTTGCAGAAGGCCTTTGATTCAATTGAGATAGAAGTCACGGAAGCTCTTGATAATCAAGGAAACCCCACTCATTACATAAGGGTCTTTTTGAGCTGTGCAAAAGTTTTACATTCCAAATATCACCATTCTACAACGATATTAACACTGACGTCAAAAAAGAAGTCAGGCAAGGCGATACCATCTCGCAAAAATTATTTACCTCCACCCTCCAGAACGTCATGCGGACATTGTAATGGGATAATATGGGAGTGAAAATCGTTGGTCGGCAGTTACACCATCTTCGCTTTGCTGATAACATCGTCCTTATAACACCAAACAT